GAGGTCATGAGGGTGAGGTCCTCAGAATAGGATTAGCACCCTCATGAGAAGACATATCAGAGACTACCCTCTCTCTGTCTCTTTCTCTGTGCTGTGTGGGGACACAAAGAGAAGGTGGCCACCTGCAAGCCAGGAAAGGGGCTTTCCCTAGAACCTGACTCTGTTGGCACCCTGATCTTGGACTTCCAGCCTCCAGAACTGTGAGAAAATAAATTTCTATTGTTTTGTCACCCAGTCTATGGTATTTTGTTAGAGTGGCCCATGTTAAAACACTTGGCATAGGGGAATTAGTTAATGCTGCAGATAGAATTAAGACTGCTAATCAGCTGACCTCAAAACATACAGATTATCCTGGATGAGCCTAATTGAATCTCAAGGGTCCTCAAATGTGGATGCCAGAAGCAAAAGAGTTGAAGTCAAAGAGAGGTTTAAAGATGCTATATTTCTTCTTTAGAAGATGAAGGAAGAGGAGACAGCCTCCAGAATCTAAAGAGAACCAGAAAACACGTTCTCCTTAGAGTCTCCAAAAGGCGTACAGCCCTGCCATCGCCTTGACTGTAGCGTAGTGAGACCCTTTTCAGACTCCTGATCTCCATAACTATAAGATAATATACTTGTGGTGCTTATAAGCCACTAAGTTAGTAGTAATTTACTACAGCAGCAACAGGAATCTAATGCCGTGGCTGAGAAAAGAATCAGTGGTTGTCAGCAAAAGAAGGAAGAAGTTCAGCTATGAACAGTTTGTACAGAAGCCTACAATGACAATTCGCCCTTACGTTCCTCCTATTCTGATTATGTCTAGTAGAAATTCTTGAAAGATTTTGATGGAATAAGTTTTCTCAAACTTCAAAAAATATTCTACTGATCATTTCGTTAGCAAGATGGAACTGGAAACTAGTTAAGATATTTGTGCATCAGTGGGCTTCACACTCAAAAACTATCAATGCAATTTTTAAAAGAAGATTGAGCATGGGTAAAATATTTGTTCTAAGTTTCAAACTAATTAATGGTGAAGGTAGGGCCAGAGCCTGAGCTTCTCTTCAGATCATGGTGGAAATCTCTTCAATAGTGATCATATGGTAAAAACTTTTAGGACCAACCTCTTAGTCCAATCTGTTCAATTTATAGGAGAGAAAATTCAGTCCCAGAGATGTTAAAGATATAGCTTAAAGTAGAAATCAGTAGTCTTTTTAGGTGATCTGAAGGATGGAGGACAGAGAAAACACAGAGAAGATGACCTGTGGAGTCCTGAGATGTCCCTTGCTTTCTCTGGAAAGACAAACAGCAATTGCAGACTCTGAAGCCCCATCCCTGGATATTGCTGGGGGTAGAAAAATGTGGTGTTGGTGTGTTACACCTTCCAATGCTTAGCTGAGTTCACCTACTGCTTCTCTACTGCTTGCTTTGCCTGCTCCTTGGCTTCTTTCAGCTGCAGCCCCAAGTCCTGGAGCCCTTCCACCCCAGCAGCTTACCCTCCTCTTCCCCAGAAAGCTAGAGAGGAGTGCCCAATCCATATGCAAGATCTATCCCAGAGGACTCAGAGTTTATGCTCACAGCACCCTCTTCTCATTCTAAGTCTCTGCTTTCACGCCTAAAATGTGAAGTTTGCAATTTGGGGAGTCTTTGGGCACCAAAAACCTTGAGAGCTTGATAGGGCAGCAAAGAGCGTTGATCAAAGACTGCTCAGATTATGGGTAGGGTCACCAGATAAAATATGGAATGCCTAGTTCAATTTGGATTTCAGATATAAGTAAGCCCCCGATACTACAGCATGCTAAAAATATCATTTATCTGAAATTCAAATTTAAATGGGCCTGCTGTATTTTTATTTGCTAAATTTGACAACCCTAAATTTGTGAGAGATAGAGGCAAGGTCATGGCAAGTACCAGGGTCTGCCTTTGTGTGGGCTGTAGAATGGAAAACAGAGAAAAAAAGAGAAATAAACGAATGAAACACAACAGTTCTTTAGAAGCAAAATCAATTAATGGCCCTCTCTCCATTCTATCTTTGTGCATGGTGTGTGTGTATGTGTGTGTGTGTATGTGTGTGTGTGTGTACACACATACATATAAGTCCTTGTATTTTATGGACACAAGGATTATGACATTGAGGAAAACTGTTGACAGTGATACTGATTACAGATATTGACAAAACAATGGTGAGATCAAACAGTAAAAATGTAGTTAAAAAGTAACACTATTTATTGAATTTATGTGAACTGCCTACCATTTATGCCCAACTGCCTGCACAGTCCAATCACAATGTTGCTTTTTCTCAGTCTTTACATGTCTTCAGAGAACTATAAAATGTTACAAAAGGGTCTGAGAAATCACCTCATCCAACCCTGACATTTACAGATTAAGGAACCAAGACTCAGAGAGGAGGTAACCAATGCAGAATCCAGCAGCCTAATAATAATAAAACAGTATTTTTTGAGGTCTTACTAAAAGCCAGGTATTTTCCTTAGTGCTCTACTTGTATAATCACATTTACTCCTCACAACAACTTTATAATCATTCTCATTACTCAAATGAGGCAAATTGAGGCAGAGAGAATTATGCCGTTTATCTTCGGTTCAAGTAGAGGTGCCCACTAAAAACCCAATTAGTTTGGTTCTAGGCCTATACGCTCAACCATGAAACCCTGAAGCCTCTCAGATAACATTAGTTTATATCACTAAACATGTTCATACATGTAAACTTTCACAGTTTACTACTCCTGTGGCATGAGTTTGTAGTTAATAACAAGATCACTTGAATACAACTTACAGAAAGCTGGCTAGATGCTGTTGTCCTACTTGTCAATTTCAGAGTCTGCTCACTTATAAACAAGCCCTATAATACAGTGAGTATGATCAAAGACCAACTTAGTTTCATTTATTTTTTTGAACTATTTTTAATGAAATATGTAACACTAGGCTCTACTATCAAAGCAAACACTAGTAGTGAGATAGAGTTTTATGAACTTACATTTTGAGTAGCTCGTGAAAAAAAAAATGAAAAAATAAGTGAGAGAGAGAGAGAAAGAAATCAAAAGAGAGCAGGTTTCCTTATCCATTGTTAACCACAAAATAAACCAAGTTCTCTTAGAAGAGGCAAGCCCTTCTGTTAGCATGCTGCCAGCCAGGCTTCTGTGCTGGTGCAGCTACAGTAGTAATTATATAGACAGAATGATCACCATCCTCAATATTCCATTTACTTAGTTTTATATGCTGCTTGTTTTTTTTTTTTTTTTGTCTTTCAGATTATCAACCCCTTGCATCTCAGATAATTAAACTACTTTGTCCTCTTCCACACCACAACTTCTCTGTTTATCAAAGGTAGATTAAACACGCCTGTGTCTGCTTTAATATCATGTTTCCTGAAGCTACCCTTCCTGTGACACAAAAGCCTGTCCAAGCTTTTAAAAAAATGAGGCAGCAATTGGAATTCTCAGAAGCTTCAGGATCTAACTGGGATATACCAGGACTCCACCAGTGCACTAAGATAGGAATGAGGGGCAGTGCAAACATTGTATTCCCTCTAGTCTGCACTTTAGGGAGGAAGGATTCGTTTGCTAAGTCTGCTTTGCAATTCTATCTAGTACCTTCACCAAATTCATTTAGACAATCCTGCTCCTCCCCTGCCCACCCTCCCCTCTCCCCCCATATGATACAGGAAGCGTGCATTTGAAATGAATGTATCTTCTTGCAAAACAAATCTGCATCCTCTCTTCTTCAGAAAGGTGGCAGTGTTGCCTTGCGGTTTTGACGAAATTACAAAGCACTGTTAATGTCTCCAGCGGATTAACTGACCAACCACCTCACCTCGCCATGAGAAGGA